TGACTTCATGGAAGTGATAACGTTAAAATTATGCATGTTTATTCTGTCAATTTTCTTTATCGTTTGAGCTCGGTTACTTGCATGTTAAGTCTATATTATGCTAGTTTGTATTTTTTTGTCACATTTCATGTCCTAGCAATTAAAAGGAGGTTTAGGTGCAAGTTTCAGGTCATTCAGAGATCATTTGCCAACACGAAAGTGGACCAAGGGAAGAAACGCGGGCATGACCTTTAGAAACACGAGCTGAAGAAGCCAGACCGCAATTTACAACTCGTGTAATCACTGCCGATGCAAAACGCGAGCTAAGCAATGAGTGAAACACAACTGTGTTTCTCCAAGTTGAGGGGGGTGTTTCATACGCTAAGAAGAATCATGCGAAACCTACAAAGTTGAGTCTATATTACGCTAGTTTTTTTTTTTTTTTGGTCACATTTCATGTCATAGCAATTAAAAGGAGGTTTAGGTGCAAGTTTCAGGTCATTCAGAGATCGTTTGCCAACACGAAAGTGGACCAAGGGAGAAACTCAGGCATGACCTTTAGAAACACGAGCTGAAGAAGCCAGACCGCGATTTACAACTCGTGTAATCACTGCCGATGCAAAACGCGAGCTAAGCAATGAGTGAAACACAACTGTGTTTCTCCAAGTTGAGGGGGGTGTTTCATACGCTAAGAAGAATCATGCGAAACCTACAAAACACATGCTGAGGAAAAACACGGGCACATACCGTGTTCCCCCTTGGATAACGTGTTTTCCGGTTGAAGAAACTTAACTGAAAAGCAGGGCACTGATCAAAACACGGCTTGGGCCAAAACATAGGCAATGAACCTGACCGTGTATTGGCTAGCTTCGGGGTTAACTGACAATTTTGGGTTTTTTGCAAGGGATCCGGCTTTTGACAGCAAAAACATAGTTATAGAGAGAAAGTGACGAATAACATTACCTTGGAAGCGATTTTAGCATAGATTTCACCATTGGAGCTCAAATTTTGGCCCTCATAGAGTAGATAGCCATCCCAAAGCAAATCATATACATCTTTATGAGTATGACTACTTTGACTATGATTTTGCTCTCTCTAGATTAATCTCCTCTCTCACTTTTGTATGGAGAACCCTAGTTTTATGTGTTAGGAGATTGATTGTATGAACCTTTGGATTGGTGAATTGATTGAATATATTCCATTGAGATTTTATTCATGATTGATTGAATCTTGATCACTTTTTTTTATTGCTTTAACCAAGGAAAGAGAAAATCAGGTTGTGTTAAGAGAGCATCCTCAATTTGAGGTAGTGGATGGAATATTGCACAAATAGTGAATAAGTTTACTGCTCTGTATTAGAATCCACTCCAGTAAAGGAAGTCTATTTGCATTGCCTTAGCATATTAATTCGGTTGAGGATAATCTCCCTCCATCTAAACTATTTTAGAGGGCTTGGTTTGCTTTAGTCGAGATTCCAAATTAATACCAAACTTTTTGTAGTGTAATTATCAATGAATTGAACCAAGGGAAATTACAACTTTGACGTAACTACGGACTAGGGGGACGTATACCTGAGTGACCCTTTGCATCTGAAATCAAATCAACTTTCTTAGCGTTGCCATTTAGTTTTGGTAAACTTAACAACAACTACTTTGCTAGATAATTGATTGTTCACCGAATAATAGTATATCTATGCCCCGGGTTGACATTATAACTTTATTTCACTATACTACTCCCTAATTTGTGGTTAGACTAGGCCACTAATTAGAGTGTTAGTAAAGCTAGTCAGGAAGGCATTGAGATGCACGGTCCCACTCTGACTGCAACGTCTTTTTTTCTTCTTCTAAGAATGACAATAGACAAAAGTTACCAACGAGGTAAATAGCCCAACGAATGTGGGTGGGGTGGCACAGGGAGGTTGTATGTTCGAGCCCTACTCCTTCGTGCGGGATGAGTGTTCCCTCTGCAGTACCTTGGCTTAGCTTCAGTCGTGCAAAGTGGTAGTCAACCCCGTGGTTTTGCCCGACTACGACATCACCGAAGGTGGTGACCGTGGAGGGTGTTCCACGTTATAAAAAAAATAGTTAAAAATAACTTCTACCCAAGATCCCTCACGCCCCCCTAAAGTGAAGCCAGCCTAAAAAAGCAAAGGAAGCTACAAAAAAACAAAACATAGAAAAAAGAAAGGGTAAATTGTAAGTTTGGTCACTTAGATTACTAAAAGTCACTGAAAATATTTTATTACATTCGTGGTAACTGAAATTAGTTCAACAGTCCAAGTTTGGTCACTAGTCGTTACCTTCCATCAGTCTCCGTTAACGACGTCGGTTTTTGCTAACATGGTTATCATAAGTGCCTAATTATCAAATTTTAACCCAAAAAAAAAATATTGACCCGCCACATCATTCCAACCCGACCCAACCCTTCTTCTTCTTCCTATGTTTGGCCCGACTGGAAAAAAAACTACCCCCCGACCACTGAATTTGTCGCCATCTCCCATCTGTTGGAAGACTCTTTATCTCCACGATGTCATTTCTCAAAGCTGTCTACGACATCGTTTTCACAACTGTCGTCGCTTCTCTTAAACGATATCACTTCATCTTCCTTCCAGGTCGTTCTCCCAAGTCTGATCAAAGAAAGGATCTATCTCCAATATCAAGGACAAATCTGCTTCAAAGGTGGCCAGACAATAATGTTGAAGATACATTTCTGCAACTGTTCTGCAACAGTCTTCTCCCCTTTCTATTTAATCCCTGGTCCATTGTAAGTTAGAACTTGGTAGTTACAACGAGAGCCTGTACAGTGTCTTCGTGTGTATTGGGTCCGTCTCTTCAATTCTCTTCAAGTAGCTCAAGGCATAGTGTATGTGTACTGGATGTCTTGAGCTTGGGAAGATAATTGTTGGTTCTTCTTTGGTTTCCCGAGGAACTTTTGGTTATGTTCCTCTTTAGGGTTTAGTTTCTCTGTATGTAAAACTTCTCCTTGTATTTCTTCGAATGAATATGAAATTCCTTTTCAATTATAGGATTTGAGAGTCTTTCTTAAATATCCCTTCAAATCCAAAAAAAAACTCGTTTCACTGCACATTCAAATTCACAATTGGTATCGGAGCCTACTCTTTGAAGGATTAACCATCACCAAAGAGGGGTTCGTGAAATGTATGGTCAACATCTACTTCCGCATCCTACTCTGCAAGTACTCATCCTCCATAGTTCGATGGGACTGATTACACAGTCTAGAAGAAGAGAATGAGAATTTACGTTCGAGGAATTGATAGAGATTTGTGGGCAATTGTTCGAAAAAGACCCATTCTCCTATGGACGATGGAGATGAGGAAGGATGGAAAGAAGAGCAGAAAGGTTTAATGATCTTAAGGGAAATAAGAGCAGAAATGTGTTATTAAATGAGGAAGGATGGAGATGAGGAAGGATGGAAAGAAGAGCAGAAATGTTTTGTTAAATGAATATGAATCTTTTGAAATGATCTCAAGGGAAACAATCTCTAGCATGTACAAAAGGTTTAATGACTTGATAAATCGACTAAAAGGTTTAGGGAAAACCTTAGAAACTAAAAATTTAGTTAGGAAAATTCTAAGATGTCTTCCAAGAATATGGTTACCTAAGCGTACGACAATTGAGGAAGCAAAAGATTTAAATGTGTTGTCTATTGAAAGACTAGTTGGGTCCTTATTAAAGCTCATGGATATGATAGTGATTCTGAAATAGACATGGGTGAAGAATTCGAATGAGAATTTGCACTTGTAAGCAGAATGTTTCATCGTATGCTTAAAATTAAAAAAGATTTTCAAGCAAAAAGAGCATACAATGATTCTAGACCTGTTAACAATCGGTTTTCGGATTTCAAAAGGGATAGAGAAGGAATTGAAAGAATTCCCACTAGACAAATTGAAAAATATTATTCAAACATACCTTCTTTTGAAATTTTTTTATCTAAGAGCATATGATAAATCTTCTGAAAGCTGAGAAAGGACCAATGAGAAAGATTTAACCATCTGTTTTAAGTGTCGTAAAACAGGTCACATGCGCTCAAAGTTTCCTTCAAAAGCTCGGGAAAAAGCCTTGACTGCATCCTAGAATGACTACAACTCAGAGGATGATCAAGAAATAAAGATCATGGCACACATGGCTTTTGCATCAAAAGGTGAAAGTGAGTCTTCCTCCTCAATGAATGATGATCAAGTCTTTCCTACAAGTTACTAGGTAATTACAGATTCTGGTCTGATGATGGTACTGTTTGCAAGTCAAAAAATGACTTCCTAAATGCCTTGACAAACTTGCAAGAAGAATGTAATAGACTCAAAAGCAAGTACTGCTTGCTTATGAAAGATAATCAAGGCATGGCTAAGGAGATTTTAGAATTAAAATGAACAGTTTGTTATCAAAATAAATGTCAGAATGATCTAAATAAAACTATCTCTTATCTGAAGAATGAAAATCAAAGATTGACAAATCTCTACAACAACAAAAATGTTGATAAAATACATAAAAACTCTTACTTTAACTCTGTTTTATACCACGAAAGACGTGCCACTAATCAATTCTTGAATAGAAATGCTCACAACAATGTCTCTGGGTATAGAAAGTACCCATTAATCTTTGTATGTTCATACTGCAAGCGACAAGGTCATCTAGCCAAATTTTGTTATGAATTAAAAGGATTAAAATGGCCAGTTGCATCCAAATCCTTTTGGGTACCAAAGTGTGCTAATTCTTGATTGATTGCAAAATGTGGGAGAAAGTAAAAAACATTCATGTTTGTTGGGATAACACTAGTACAATCTGTATGACGAAAAATCCATACAACATTCTAGGACCAAACACATAGAAATCAAATATCACTTTATTAGAGATTTTGTACAAGCAAGTCATGTTTGCTTACAATTTGTCTACTGATTTCCAGCTAGCAGACCTATTTACTAAACCTCTCTCTAGTGAAAGATTTCTTCAACTATTCACAGAAATCGGTTTAGAATCACTTAGCCAAATTTCAAATCTAACAAATTAGATCTTCTAGGACGTTTTTGCTCTAGGTTTATTGCTTACCTCGAGCTGTAAACTTCTTTTTCCTCACTCGTGTTCTCCTTCCTCGATCCTTCAACCTAGAGCTCCCTTTGAATCTATCATCACACGTCTCATGATCAACCTGAGTGTCGACTTATCTGATTTTAGAAGTGTATCCTCCACTATGTATATCAGTGCCCTCAATGTCCTCATGGTTCTGGATCTTCCTGCCAAGATACCTCCTCCTTCTCTTTCTACTCCTATTCTTGGCCCTCATCCCAAGACTCCATCTCGTGCAAAGAAATCCAAGCATCTCGATGAAACCAACAAGTCTGGCGGCCTGGTCTTCACGATTTCCGAACGAACCTCTTCCTCTGACGATTTTGCTGCCCCTGCTCCGTATTGGGGCATTGTTCGTGAAGTTTTTCCTCTGCCCCTCTAAAACTAGTAGTTATTTTGTATTGCAGTTCCCTATGTGAACTTGCATCTATTCAGGGGGAACACCTCTTTTAAGCTTTAGTTTAGCGTTTCTTTTACAGCAGTAGGTACTTTATTCTGTTGTTCTCTATATGAACATGCATTTTCTCAAGGAGAAATCTTTTCTTGGATGTTCCCTTTTCTGTAATGTCTTTCATTGAATAAAATTATCTTCTGTATTTTTATACTGCTGGTAGCGTTGTTCTGATTGCAGGTATTTCGCGACTTGTCGAACGAATGGGGAAATTGTTGGAAGACTATTTATCCTCCACGACATTGTTTCTCAAAGCTGTCTACGACATCGTTTCTCACAATTGTCACTGCTTCTCTTAAACAACATCACTTCATCTTCCTTCCGGGTTATTCTCCCAAGTATGATCAGAGAAAAGATCTATCCTTAATCATTCCAAATTTCAGAGCTGTTCAACCTTTTCCTCTTTCCACTCCAAAAGTGTCGCTCTCTCCAATATCAAAGATGAATCTGCTTCAAAGGTGGCCAGACAATAACGTTGAAGATCCATACAACACATAATTAGTATCCAAATAACACATAAGAGTATCCATATTGAATACTAGTTGGTTGGTTGTGGATATTAGTTGGTATATGCTATCTGGATACTAGTTTGTGATGTTTTGAATACTAGTCTGTGCTATCTAGATACTCAGCAGACTTGGATATTAGTTCATACATTTTGGATATTAGTTAGTATATACTAACGAATCTTCTAGTTAGCAAAATAACTAGGTTGGGCAAGCAGAGCACACAAGGGAGTAGTGAAGAAAGCAACACCTTTGATGGTTGATCAGAGGCTTCGGTAAACCTGCAAAGTGTTATCGCAATAAAAAGTGGAGAGGGTAGAGAGAGAATACACCATATTAGGAGATTGAGTGTCTGATTCGTTTTCCTCCTTTTCTCATTTCATCTTCTCTTTCTACGATATGATTCTCCATGAGGACCAGCTCCCCGACGATCACGTCTCCACCGCCGATATCCGTAGGAATGTCACCGAGGTAGGCGCCAAAGTCGATGCCCTCCAAAGCTCAGTCATGCTCCACCATACCCCACCTCGTCTTCCCTTTCTATGATATGTTCAGCTTCTCCGACGATCGATTTTCACTCTCTATTTGATTTGCACTCGCTTCAGTTCAAAAATGTTGTTGTTCTCTCGATTCGATTGCTTTTTAAATCGAGTAATTTGATGGTTTGATACTAGAAACCCTAGAATTCTTCTTCATCTCTGCAGTGCTGCATTCATGACTTCGAAACCCTAAGGTTCACTACCAGGTCACGGGTTGAATTGGGTTTATTGACGTGGCTAGTTAACCGACGTGGTGGGTTGGGTTTTAACCTTTTTGGGTGAAAATATGTCGATTAAACACTTCTGTTAGTCATGTCAGCAAAATACTCATGTTGTCAACAGAGATTGACAAAAAGTGAACCAAACTTGGACTCTTTAATCGGTGATCACTTTTGGAATAAAATATTTTAAGTGTCAAACATAATTTTTTCAGTAATCATAGTGATTATGCAATTTATCCAAAAAGAGAAAAGAAGAACGTTTTAGCTGAAGCCACGTTTCTCGTGCTCTGTGGGCCGTGGGGTTTGGGTCTACCCTTACGAAATCTCGAATCTGCCCCCTACTTACCGTTTCCAGATATTTCCACAAGACGACAACAGCTTTTGCAGAATGGATCCATGATGGTGGGGGCAATTCCGAAATTTGCCCAGGTTAACCCCCAACCAAAATCAAGGCCGCACCTTTCATCTTGGGAATGATGCCACGTGGGTGAATCACCTGCTCCACCCAAAAAACTACCCACCGTGCACCGCAGCCACGTTACAGAACCTGGTTAGGATAAAAACCCACCACGCTGGCAGACACGTCGATACACGAACTCCACGTCATCGATCTCTTCTCCGAGACTCCTCCCTTTTTCCCTATAAAAATTTGCCCACTCCACCAGTCTTTCCAGTTTCCCCCACTAATTTGTACTCAACAAAGCTATTCCTCTCCTTTCCCCTTCTTTTCTTCCCCTATTTCGTCCATATCATACCCGCCGGCGGCGAGATCCCTCATCGCAGGGGGAATGAATATTCCGGCGGAAACATTTCCTCTTACCTCCACACGCAATGCTCGTATCTCCGATCATCCCCGCCACGTCTTCCACGAAAAAGCCCTCTACTAAAATACCATCCCTCCCCCTCTCTCCCACCGCCCAAGTTCTTCGATTCCTCCTCGCTGATTGCAGGGAAGGTACCAGATTTCCCCTTGTCAAACAATTTTCCGTCCGGCGACTCCATTTTTTTGAAACTTGGATTCCGATTGTCCTGTTTGACGGTTCCTTTTTGAGTTAGTAGTAGTACCTGGTTTTAGAGGAGAGAAATGTGCGTCGATTTTCCGGCGTTAACTTTTTTTTGTTGGTGAAATGTACTAGACCCGAGATTCAGGATCTGACCGAGTCATTGATTGGTCCCCTTTGGACTCAGTGAGTCAATAGATTGCTCAAGAAGACGAGTGTACGACGCGTTTAGAAACCATAGCATTCATTCAATCAGTCAGTCGGTTAGTCAAAATCCTTTGATCCTTTCATCTCTCTGACATGCCTCCTATGAAGATCCAGCCAATCGATGTCGATTCTCAGATGCAGCCGGCGACTCCGGCCATAGCTGAGCCGGCGAAGCCGGTGCTGAAATCGCGGTTCAAGAGACTCTTTGACCGCCAGTTGCCGAGCGTGTTGAGGATTTCATCGGCTGATAAGCCGCCCAACATCGGCGGCGATGCGCAGTATGTTACCAAAGATGCCGGAATCGGAGCTGGAGGGACCGAGTTCGAGCCGAGCTCTGTGTGTTTGGACAAAATGGTGCAGAGTTACATGGAAGAGACGAACGAGAAGACTCTCCGCGCTCGCAATCGCTGCAATTGCTTCAACGGCAACATCAGTGACAGCTCCGACGATGAATTCGATGTGTTCGATGGCGGCTTTGGTGAGTCGATCATTAGCAGTGGACCGAACTATGACGCCTCCGATGTTCTCAAGGTAAAGAAAAAGCCGCCCTTCCGCTTCTGTTATGTACGATTTTCCGCTTCTCGTCTTATCAAAAGCCTGGTTGGAGCTTTGAATGCCTAATAACGATGTGGTGTTTGGCTCTTGGCAGAGTCTAATTCCGTGCGCGAGCAGAGCCGAGAGAAATCTCCTCGCCGACGCGGCGGCGATCGTCAAGAAGAAATCCTCTTCTTACAAGCACAAAGACGAGTTGAGAAAGATCGTCGCCGACGAACTATCGGCCCTCGGCTATAATTGCTCCATCTGCAAATCGAAATGGGAGAAAGCCTCTTCCTATCCCGCCGGTACGTCGCCTCTATTAATCATACCCTTTGGTTTCCAAATCTTCTCTGCCGTCAACTTAGGGTTTGAAATTTACGAATTGGATCCAACTGCTCTGCTTCTAAACTCCGCAATCGCAATTTCTCTCAGGTGAATACGAGTACCTAGATGTGATTGCCGACGGCGAGAGACTGTTGATTGACGTGGATTTCAGATCGGAGTTCGAGATCGCTCGATCGACCAGTGCTTACAAAGCAGTCCTTCAATACCTGCCGCACGTTTTCGTCGGGAAACCAGACCGGCTGGGCCAGATCGTGTCGATCGTGGCGGAGGCGGCGAGGCAGAGCTTGAAGAAGAAAGGGATGCACTTCCCTCCGTGGAGGAGAGCCGAGTACATCCGCGCCAAGTGGCTCTCTCCGTTCACCAGGCTGACCGACAAAGCTCCGGAAGACTCCAAAGCTGAAGAAGAGCTTCTGAACGGAGGCAAACCACCGTCGGAGGAGGAGAAGGGAACGGATGAGAGAGAAGAGTGCTGCGGAGAGCTGGAGTTGATTTTTGGAGAGAAAGCCACAGAGTCGGACACCTCCTCGTCGCCGGCGAAAAGTCCCGGCGAGGAGGAGGTGAAGGCGGCGGTGACGTGGCAACCGCCGGCAGTGAAGCCGAAGAGTGTTGTAAAGAGGAAAACAAAGATGGTGACCGGATTAGCCTCTCTTCTGAAAGAGAAACCGTAAAAAAAAAGTTTTGGACTCTATTTTTTTCATATTTCCTTTTTTGGCGGAGGGCAAAAAAAAAACGTACAAAATTGAAAAATATATGAAAATATAAATTGAAATGTGAAATAGGTGGATAATGGTAGCAATTAGTTGATTTAGTAGCCTGCTGCGGTGCTGCCCCTTTTCTCACCCACTTTTTCTTTTTAACCTGCTGTTGCTGTAAAAGCAGAGGTAGGGACTAGGGGGCAATCCAATCAACCCTGTAATAACTTGGTAAAAACGAGCAGTAAATATTTTGGAAGTCAAAAATCCTCTTCGTTTTTTTTCTTTTTGGTGTTGCATTAACTGGAGAGGCCAGTGAGTTGTGACTAATGACTAATGACTAATGAGTTTAAAGAATGAACGGTGCCTCAATGGAATCGGATACTTTCCTCGCTGAACCTATGTTGTTAGTATTATGTTAATATAGTTTGTGTTGTACTTGTATTGCTACATTTGTAAAAAATAATTACCACACTGTAATTACGCCGACGATTCCAACTCATAATTAGTATGGTGTCAGATGGTTGTCATGCCGGTGGCATGCCACCCGGTTGAACCTGGTTCAATCCGTGCCGGTCATGAAACCGGCATGACACCACTGGTATGACCGGTATGATCGATTTACGTATTCTAATTTCTAAGTAAAATCACATAATTTTAATGAATTTAATGAATACAAAAATTAATTTATTATTCATTTTATGAATGTAATAGTTAAAAGTTGATGATATTTGTTGGATTGTAACTCAATTGTCCACAAATATGTTTAAATAAATTGGATATTAATTGTTTTCACATTTTTTTAAACTAGCATGAACGGGCACAAACTGGTTATACCACCGGTCGTATCATTCCACTTGCCAAACCGGTATAACGGTATAAACCGGGTTGACAACCTTGTGTCAGACCCTTCCAACTAACAAAGAGCCAATTTATGTGCGTGTGAAATCGTTCATTTTTCGTAAATTCCCTATCTTATTTAGAGAAAAATATATTTTTGGGTATTGGATAAAGTGCAATGAGTGCTTCTTCCCAAAGATATCATACCATACTAGTCATGCATTTCTTTTAGGTGGTGTTCCCCTCCACAGGGAACAAAGGCGGACGAAAGAAACTTTATTTTGATGGAGTTTTGCATTTCTCTTGTCATCATTTATTTCTTAATGGAATGATTTCTCTAGTGTTTGAAACCTATTCCTAAGCCAGGCATGGCAGGGTCAGGCAGGAATATTCAATTATTCATATTTGGGTGGGGGGTTCCACGAAGATGTGTTCATCCAAAGACATCGTTTTTGAAACCTACTCGAGAGTACGGGTGTGCAATGTTCCAGTTTGGGACCGTATCGGATCGACTATAATATGGTTTGATCCTTCGTTCATATAAATTTTATAATTACTGAAGAATTGATAGACAATAATGATATTTGGATCGAACCGGATCGAACTGGACCAAATAGACCGAATACAATGATGGTTCGATCCTTAGTTCCAAGATATTTTACTAATAGATCACGATTTTCATGAATTTGGTCCGATCCGGTTCGGCATGAGTCTGGTTCTTAGTTCTAAGTTATTTCGTGGATCAAGATTTTCATAAGTTTGGTTGGGACCAGACCAAACCTTTACAAACCTTTGCCCACCCGTACTCGAGAGGAGAGTAATAGAAGTGGCCTAGTGGGGCGGCTTTATTATTTGTTCCAAACAAGGAAAAAAGTAGCGGGGGACTCTAAAAAATCATCGTGGTAAATAAAATTAGCTCTTTATATTGTCATTTGATTTGAAACTCTCTCCTATTATGGTAATGTTGAGTCATATATAGCCTATGTTTGGTCCGGCTTTTAAAAGTGTTTTTCGGCTTCAAAAGTTAAAGCAGGGCCAAACACTTCTAAAAACTCGGCTTTTGAAAAGCCGAAAAGCGCTTTTGTATAACATAAATGCATAAGCTCCGATTTGGAGCTTCTACGAAAAGTTGTTTTGAAAATACAAGATTATCCTTACCATATTTTTATTTTATTTTAGAAAATATAATTTTCTCTCATTTATATCATTTTAAAAATAAAATAAATTATAAAATCATATTATATAATATAAAAGAAGCCTAACAAGATCAATTTTGACTACATTTTATTGTTTAGAATTATTATTCATAGTTTATATTATAGTCATTTTACCTAACCTCTCATATTAAAAAGCACTTTTAATAGTATTTTAGCCGGGTTATAGGTATAATATGCTCCTCTATTATGACGATTTATCAAACATGCCTCTCTACTATTTTTTACATCAAACATGCCCCTATACTTTGAAAAAATTATCAAACATGACCTTCTGTTAAACTTTCCATTGAAAAAAATCGTCAATCATGATTGAACTGAGATTTAGACGACCCGAAATCTGCAAATGGGAGCGAAAATGTCAGTTTTGTCTCCCGATTTAATTCTCTGGGTCTCTTCAAAGTGAAATTATTTGAATTATTTAGCTATACAAAAGAACCAAAAAAATTCTAAAGTGAAATTATTAGGGATATTTTAGACATTTATGTCACCCAAACCAAAGTTCGGCCTTGGTTAACGGTTTTTGGATGGAAATTTTAATAGAAGGGCATGTTTGATAATTTTTTCAAAGTACAAAGACATATTTGATGTAAAAAAATAGTTGAAGGGCATGTTTGATAAATCGTCATATTAGAGGGGCATATTTTACCTATAACACTTTTTCAGCCAAACACTCAACTGCTTTTTTTGAAAAGTACTTCTCTAAAAGCTCAAGTCAGAAGCTACTTCTGCAAAAGCTACAGCAGAGCCAAACTAAGCCATAATAACTCATTCCAACGTATTCATTTGAGATTGCTCCGAACTTTACATATACATTGGAAATAAATATTTTGTGTAAATCACATTTAATCTGATATATTAACTAAAAAATATTTGGATTTGGATTTGAATGAAACAAATATGGATGGATTGAAAATAGTAGGGAAATTGAAAAAAAAAAGTGTGTGGTAGATGAAACATTATTGAAATAAATAAAAATTAGAATACTATTTCAATTTAGACAGTTAGATCGGTGGGGGGAAATACTAAGAAAAAACGGGCAAAGAAAAAAAAATTAATTGAAACCAAAGAAATCTTTTTTAGTTAGTGTTAATGATACCGAAGTGGATGCATAATATGTTTTCAAAATGTATGGGAAAAGGTGTTTATTATATATTTTATTTCATATAATAGATATAGAAACTGAAATTCGAGATGCAGTGTGGTCGTGGCGTCTCGAAATGCAGAAACAAAGAAAAGTTGGACGTAACACGTTCATTACAATGGCGTGAATTTCTTTTTTATTATTTTCTTAATTTTTAGAGAAAACAAAAACCCTCTTCGAATTCCCTATTATTCAATATATTCAGAGTTTGTGGTGGGCGTGTGTGTATTGGGGGAATGATAATAACACGAAAATAAAAGGGAAAATGGTTTTCTCTTGCTTCAATTTCTTTCAACTGATCACCTCGTGAGCTCCATTCACTTTTATAGTATTGAATTTCTCAAGTTTATCCGTCAGTGTTTTAATTTTTTAAACAATAATAATTGGTATTGGTTTGTCAAATTAAATATCGTGATGGAGTTTTGACTGCAAGGAGGGAAACGGTGTAAACTAGGAAGATGGGCACCCGTGCAAGTTGAGAAATCGGATCAATTTTTGACATCTTTGCTTACCACAACCACCACCGCCCCACCATATCCTCTTTCTTTACAGTTTTACCTTCCTTACCCTCCTTGTTTAACATGGTAAAGTTACTGATTCACCTCATTGTGCATGTATGTGAGGTATGAAGAAGATGGATGGGTTGAAAGTTGAAACAGTTTAACCTTTCTGCCTCGTCTTTGTATGTCGAAACTCATTTTGTTTGCGAAAATTTTGGTTTGTGGTTGTCTCGAGCTCGGTTTGAGCTCGGCTCATTAATGAGCTAACGAGATCGACCCAACATTTAGCTCGCGGTATTGGCTAGAGTTTACGCACGATATCATTTAGTTCGTAATTTTTAATTGTATATGTCTATTAGTGATTTGTATATGAGCATATACACAAGTTCTCTTTTAAATTATAAAAAATGAGATATGTTTGGTCATGTGTTCAATTCTTAAACATCATATATGGTGCGATATATAATCTAACAAACATGTGAGTTATCAACAAGCCAATGACAAGCTATTAATATGTTTACTCATAAGTTGCTAGTTGAGGTGGCTCGTTGGTCATACTGCTAGTCAGCTCGTAGGTCAAAACGAGCTAGCTTACGAGTTAAACTCAACAAGCCAACAAATCGAGCTGGGTCCACGAGACTTACAAGCTGAGCAAGACTTACCTCAAACTCTACTCTTTAGTAAACAAGCCTAGTATCAAACGAACTTTTTACAAACTGAATACAGAATCATTGTAAACCACTTGCCTCATTTCCAGACCTACATAAACTTGGAGGTGGGTGAAAGAAAGGCCAAAGCTCCTCGTACATATATAGATTCCTTCTCTCTTCAGTTAAGTGGTGCTTTTGCTTTGTGGGTTGGGACTTTGGGAGGAGAGTTTTCAATTTTCACCCCGTCCTCCACTTGGTCACCTCACCTGTTCCTAAATAAGTGATGGTTGGGACCAGAAAATTCATTCACAATGCCTACTAACGAAATATTCCGAACCCTCAAACTGCGAGCATCGAAACAAAGAAATTTACGCACTCAACATTTCACAGGGTCCAAGGATGGTAAAAAAAAAAGAAAACCCCTTAGTAATATATATTTTTTTGTGAGGCAGTGCTCAGTAATATTTTTCCTTTCATTAGGGTCTCGGAGTGAGGCTTACATGGACCAGTTCTTAGTAATATTATTAATTGTAATTTTTTATAACAGATAATCATTTATTGATTCGAGACATAGGTAGTTACATCCTGAAATTCAGTCATATAAAAAAATTAAAGAATCGACACATAATCGAGTACAAAAACAGGGTCTTTTTAGCCACTAAATGGGCTACCCTATTGCTACGCCGACCTACAATCGGAACACTAAACCCAGTATGAGTAACAAAATAATGCACAAGCTCTTCGAGAATAGTTTGCAGTAAGATATTTTATATTGAAACTATGATTAACCCATGATTCAACCGTTTCATACCGCCTATCGGTTTAGCCAATAAAGCGAGGATAATATTTAACAAACTCCCCAAGAGTCTCCTTCTTTATTAGAGGAAGTGGAGGAGAGTGGCATATCCCAAGGCTTCAATACTGTTTTGATCCCATTACAATTAATCTTATTCACAAAACCCCTCTTCCTAGATGCCAACAAAGAGACACAAGAGTCTGGCACTTTACAAAAAATGGCTCCTATACAGTTAAAACGGGATACCACCTGGCTTTAGAAATTTCTTTAGTCTCGAGTCGAAAAACCCTGGTGCAAATTATAGATCCCCCTATCTGGAAGAAAACTTGGGATATTCTGGTTCCTCCAAAATTAAAATTCTTCATCTGGCAATGTCTAAGAGTGATTCTTCCAACTGTGGTAGCGCTTAAGTCTAGAGGGATTAATTGTCGTACCCGGTGCCCGGTTTGCTGGAGAAGTCCAGAAAGTATTGAACACCTATTCTTCAGATGCCCCTTGGCCACCAGATTGTGGTCGCTTATGGGCCTAAATGACTTCATTGCCTCGGCCCCGACTGTGAATTTCAGTCTCTGGTGGCGACATGTTATGCTTTCTGAGCACCCCCAAACCCATGTTCTCCTGTACGTTTGCGTATTGTGGAGAATCTGGAAGTCTCGAAATAAGGTGGTTTTTGAGTATTTGCAACCTCATGCCCAGTCTTTAGCTCGCCAATGTTTTTTCCAATTCCGTGAAGTCTCTTCTTCTCTTCCTCCTGCGCCTGCCCCTCCCCATCAACCTCCAAGTTCTCGTCTTCCCTCCTGGGTCCCTCCTCCTGATGATTTTTTGAAGATCAACTTTGATGCTGCGGTTCGTGTTTCCGGTTGTTCGTCTGGTCTAGTAGTTCGTGGAGCAGACGGGCATGTAGCTTTGGCAGTAGGGTTTCAGCACTTCGGCGTTACTGATCCCTACCGCACGGAGCTTCTTGCTGCCAGAGACGCCATCTCCATGTTGGTCTCCAAGTCACTCCCTCGTGTCATCATCGAAGGTGACTCAGAAGTGGTGGTTCGTCAGCTTCGTCAGGGTGCTTCTTCTGATCCCCTAGGAGGACCGGTGCTTCGGGATTGCTTCATTCTCCTTGCTTCTGTTTCTGTCTCCTTAGAATTTAGGGCAGTGCCTCGGACTGCTAACAGGGTTGCCCATAGAGTGGCGCAGAAAGCCCTGCTTCTTTCTCCTCTTGAGTTATGTTCTTTCGACTTTGTTGGATGGCTTCATTGATGTAATAGTTTGGGAGGTGTTCTGGTAGTTTGTATAGTTCTCTCTTTTGACATTTCTTGGAAAAAAAAAACTCATAACCATAGTATAATGAGTGGGTGGTAGAGTCGTGTTGCAAATGGTTTGGTCCGGTTCGATGGAAATTTTCCAATAGTAGCATCTTTGAAACTTTTTTTTTTTTACAAAAATAGCACCCAGCCCATAAAAATTACAAAAATAGTATCATTTTAAAGAAACCGCACCCTCCAGCTCCAGGTGCGTTTTTATGTATAAACCGCACCTTGGAGGTCCGTTTCGTGCCACATCATCCTGGGAACCGTACTAGGCAGGTGCGGTTTGTGTTTCCTCGCCTGCGACCTTGGAGAGCGTTGGATGAGGCGGCGATCCAAGGGCGGACCGCATGCCACCTCAGTAATCTGCGCCATGGATCGAAGACCGCATCCTGCAGGTGCGGTCAGCCCCTCAAGAAACGCAGAACGCATCGGGAGGGTGCGGTTTCAGGGAGGGAAAAATTACCAGACCGCCCCTGGAGGTTGCGGTCTGAATAGTATAAATACCCCCTCCCCCCTCTCATTTCTTCACCACAACCCATTCTTCACTCTCTCTCTCTATCCCCTCCCCTCCCAAAAGTCTAGGAAATAGTGGTTTGTTGGTTGCGGCGAAGTCCGATCTTCCATCAGAAAACATTTCTTTGGTTTTTGCCTCAAAACCCGCCGAATTTCTGTTCGACTTTCGCGAAAAAATGGACGAGTGGTTCCAAGGAGAGGGAGTTTATTATGATGAATTTCAAGCGGTACATACTCATTTTTCTGGTCAATTTTTGTTTTTGTTATAAGCTTTTTAATTAATCTATGTACTAACCTTGTTGTTATTCTCTCGTAGGTTGGGGACGACGTGGATGTATACAACCAACGGTACTATTTGGATCAAGGACCTATTGATCCAACCGACTTGTACGACCAACCCAACCATCGTTCAAGAGATGTTTGGAACGATCACCAGGTATACAATTCTTCATCATTTGTCTTTCTTTTATTTTGCTAATGTACTTAGTGGAATATAAAATAAATTTGAAATAATTTAATCGTATTGGTTGTTTTCAATAATTTAATCGAATACATAGCGCCACTTACTTTAACTCTTTATAAAGAGATGCACTTCGAAGGAAATGAGGTTTTAAGCGATTATCATGATCCTCCCATTTCCTCAGAAAATCAGGTATTAAGAGATCCTCGGATCCCCCCTTTTTTCTGTCAAAAAGGCTGCGTTTCTAAGAAGATGTATACATCTTCTAAGAGTCTAACGAGTGTTGCATTGTATTCGATTAAATTATTTAAAACAACCAATAAGATTAAATTATTTACCAAACAACCAATACGATTTATGTTTATGTGTACTTAAATAAATTTTATTAATTTCAAATGTTTGAATATGTATGCATCTCTTTAAATTATTATCCATTTAGAATGTTATTTATTTCAATTAATTGAGTATGTTTGTTTTATGATAATATGTATATATCTTGAAAAAAACCATCAATTGCTTAAATTTGATTGTTAATAATATAATTATAATAAAATTATGGACCAAATTAAATCATTAATTTTAATTAATTTAGTTATAAGACTAAACTGTTACTAATATATCATAAATAACGTGGAAATTTTTGCTAGGAGGCACAACAAATACTCCGCTATAGGGGTACGATCAATGTGCTCCCATGGAACCCAGTTATCTTGCCCTTTCTCAAAAGGGCACGGTTGGAGTCGATTAGGCATTTTGTAGGCATAAAAGTCGATCGCCAACTCATCAACGCATTGGTGGAGAGATGGAGAAAGGATACACATTGTTTCAACTTTCGCGAAGGAGAGTGCACCATCACGCTAAAGGACGTCGCTATCCTAACCCATCTGCCCATCGACGGCAAAGCGGTGTGTGTGAGTGATCATCCCCCGAGGATCGTGACGTTATGACCGGTTGGCAACATTTCATCCACAGTGTTTTGGGGGGTGAAAGTACCAATCAAGGGGAGCGTTGATGCGACGGATCGCTTGCCACCATTGAGGAAAGGCCAAGTATCAATCACTTGGTTGACGAAGTATTTTAGGGACCTTCACGATCCTGCCAAAAATGGGGTGCCCCTAACCGAGGAAAGTCCGGAGCTAGAGAAGGAAAGATATGCTCGTGTCTGTCTCATAGGCATGATAGGAGGAGTGTTCTTCTCCAAAAAAATCGAGCAATTTAATTAGTTGTGGATGGCTTAGGATCCTCCTTGGTAGTTGGGATGAGATGGGGGAGTTGAGTTGGGCATCCGCTTGCCTAGCTAATATCTACCACCTTTTGTGCAATGCATCTCTCAAAGCTGTGAGGAAGGTCGGCGACGCAATGTTCATCATCCAATTTTGGGCTTGGGAGCATCTGCCATGGATTGCACCGCTCAAATGTCCCGATCTTCCCCTAAGACTTGAAGCTTATGGTTGTAGGTAAACTTCTCATACCCCATCATGATATTAATAACTCAATTTTCCTTATGTTTTAGCTTATTGTAGTTTTATTTTTGTCTTATTGATAAGGTGGGTTGGAGCCTCAACATACGATAACCTTGCCCAACACAAATTGGTAGAGTATCTGAGGAGGCTAGAGCGACTTTGGGAAGGAGAGGTAACTAGAATACTTCGAAGTGCTATAACTTTTTTTTCATGGAGTACATGTATTTTTTCAATTTTGTTTAACTTAAGTTACTCGTTTCTTTTTGTAGATCAAATTCAATACATACTCGGCGAACATCGTTCATTTCCATTTACAGCAATTCCCCGGTCATATCGGGCAATGGTGCATGAGAGTCCCTCTCATTTGTTTAGGGACCGTGGAGTGGCACCTGCCAGATCGATGGCTTCGTCAGTTTGGTCGGGAGCAGTGCATTCTGTTGGAGGTTCCCGAGAGTCAAAGGGCGTTATTAGCCAAACACGCAAGTTCCAAGCATCATAGCTCTAACTCCGACAATAAGTGAAAACATACATAACAAGTACCAACAAATGATAATCACAAACTATGTCGCATTAGCTGAGTCCCCCACATCAGGACCCGGATTTTGCGGACCAATCTGACCTGGGCAACTTCGTTTATCATGCCCTGGAACTATGCATACTGAACATCGTCTTGGGCCTCGTGGTGGTCTTTCACTTTGATCCATTTCGTTCTGAATTCTCTTTTTCCTCGGCCGACCCGGTTCACGCCTTTGTCCGAACGGCGGGATGATCAACTTTCCTTCGTACACCGGCCAATAAGCTTCATCAGGCAATGCACGAAAACTCCGTCCATAGCAATTTTTGAGTGAGTCGATATTGAAGAACAGACTGACGAAGTGACGGGGGTCTTTGCTCCTGTTTTTAATTACGGCCATTGCATGAGAACATGGCCACCCTCTCCCCTGATACTTCTGGCATGAGTACGGACCAAGTTTTGTCCTAAAATTGACCAAAACTTCATGGCGATGGCCCCCGCGTCTACCATCCTCCCGATGTCCGGTCGTCACGCTAAACTCGCCATTGCCCGATTCATAACGGTTACACTGTGTCGACTGCTCTTGCGATTGTCATTCTTCATTACTTCGGTGATTTTATAAGCATGGACCTTTCCTTGTGCCTCGCTCGTCCTTGCCCAGTGGAGTCGATTGACGAACCATGCATTCGTTTTCCAGAAAGTCATCTCCATAATTACAGAGATTGGCAGTGCATGAACATCCTTGTAGGCAGAGTTGATACTCTCACTTGAGTTCGTTGTGGCAATACCCCATCTTGTACCTCCGTCTTTATGAAATGTCCACAAGGATAGGTCGTGTCCATCCAGCCACTGCGCCCCTTCAGGGCATAACTCGCGCATCTTCTGCAACTTAGCATGAAATTTTTTCTCTTGGTATGCAACAGTTGAGGAACACACAGAAAAGTATTAAGTTAGTCATAATTCGACAATTTATTACAATTCAAACAACCAGCAGGTACTCTCATTAGACTCTTAGGAGAGGTATACATCTCTTTAGAAACACAACCTGGTTGACAGAAAAAGGGGGATCCGAGGATCGCTTAAAACCCGATTTTCCCAGGAAATGGGAGGACCATGATAATCGCTTAAAACCCCATTTCCTTAGGCATGTATCTCTTTGAAAAGAGTCTAACAAGTGTAGCATCATTCATTGATATAAGATATTTTTATTTTATTTGACAAAATTAAACAACCAATCGAGAGCTTACCAATCCACCACAAATTATCACCAAGCTTCTTTCACTTGAAATGATGGTTCCAGTTGCTCTTGAAGTGTCGTATGCACCACCTTTAGGACCACTTTCATGCTGGATCCAAACCTAAGATGGCAAGCTCTAATGCCGGCGTGCCGATCAGAGATTATTGTCAGGTTTGTCCTCCTAGTGACGTGGAGCTGAATTTGCCGGAAAAACCATCCATAGCTATCAGTATTCTCTCCCTCAACAATGGCGAAGGCTAAAGGAAAGACTTGTCTGTTTGCATCCGCCCCACTGGCAATCAGGAGAGTGCCCTTGTACTTTCCTGGAAGGAATGTACCATCCACTTGGATCACAGGGACACAGAAGACAAAACCATCAATAGATGGCTTGAATGCCCAAAAAACTCGTCTGAAATGGCGTTAGTTACCTGGCTTTGGCGGTTGTATCTCTTCATATTGGTATCGAGGGGAGAAAACAGTGTCAGGGTTAGACCCCTCCAATGCCAAAATCAACCTGGGAAGGAATGCATATGATTCTTTCCAATCACCAAATACGGCGGCCAGAGCTTTCTGCTTTCCATGCCACACCTTTTTATAGTTAATCATATAACCATAACGACTTGCAATGTCAGCGATTATGACTTTCACCTTCAGGTAAGGATCTTGCTCAATTAGATGCTTGATAGCCGCAGCAACCACCCTAGATTTCAACTTTCGATGGCATTGGGATGTTATGGATGACACATATGTGTGTGTGTTCACCGCACAGGATATGACCCAATGGTTGTGTCTCTTGCTGTTGATGGCCCGAATCTTAACATTGCATCCCTCGTTATGATTACAACATCTGACTATGAGCCTTTTCGTGTTGGAATGAGTTGTGTGCCATTCAAAATGTTGAGTCATTGTTTCAGTATCAATGGCGTGTCGCACCTCCTTCTTCGATCCAAATTGTTGGCCCTTCATAAAGCCAGTGAGTGGACCCCATACTGGAACCTGTGGGGGGTTCCATGTCGCTGTCGACCATCCAATTGCCGTTTGGAATGTGATTGTAGTAGGGGACTGGTACATGGTCATGAGCCACCTCATCATCATTATCTGAGTCTGACTCTAGTCCTGAATCATCAGCACCTTCAAGAGGGTCGGAGCTGTCTGCACTGACGTTGTTCTCTCCTTCTTCATCGGATGGGTCACTAACTGGTGCTGGCAGGGCATCTTCCATCTGATCCAGCTCATGAAAGGCA